AATTTCAGGGTGTTTGCTGTTGTGGATTGCACCCTGGAATGTGCACCAGGGGTTGCTTTGTCACATGCTGGCCTCTGAGATGTCACCTTGTTCCTCCCTTTCCCCGAAGCATAATGGGATCAGGGCAGGATGGAGGAACACCAGCTGTGCAGGGATGTGCTCCAGGGATTTTTGCTCCTGTTACAGCAGGAAAAACTCAAACATTTCCCTGAAGCTCCCCCAGTGCCAGCCTGTCCGGGTGTGTGTTTGTGCTGGCCGGGAGAGCAGGGCTGTCACAGACATCTTTCATGGAAAATAATTCTTTAGGATTTTTCCTCCTGAGAGGCCTCAGGAACAAAATGTAAACAATGGTTATCTACTGCTGTGGAATGCAACAGGTGCATCTGTGATTAGCTCATGTTGGTTGTTTGTAATTAATGGCCAATCACAGTCAGCTGGCTTGGACTCTCTGTCCGAGCCACAAACCTTTGTTATCATTCTTTCTTTTTCTATTCTTAGCTAGCCTTCTGATGAAATCCTTTCTTCTATTCTTTTAGTATAGTTTTAATGTAATATATATCATAAAATAATAACTCAAGCCTTCTGAAACATGGAGTCAGATCCTCGTCTCTTCCCTCATGCTGGGATCCCTGTGAGCACTGTCGTCACACGGGGTTGTCCCAGAGCCTGGCAGAGCTGTGCTGTGCTCCTGGGTGGCACCACTGTTTATTTACCTTTTCATCACCTGACTGCCATGCCCTGCCATGCTGCAGGCGCCAGCTCTGGGCTTCCAGCCCTGTTTGAGTTGGCAGAGCTGGAGATTCACCCTCTGCTGGAGCAGCCCGACGCCAGCCCCACGGCTGCCCGGGGTGCCCAGGCTCCTTGGAGCATCTTGTGTGGAGATTTTGCACCCTGGTATGGACCAAGCATCACCACAGATGTGGTGGCACAGTGAGGAGAGGTGTCATGATGTGACAAGCTCAGAGCAAGTTGCATATGCTCAGCATCACTGGAGCTGTGGATGTGTCCCTGCAAGGCAAAGCCCTCTCAAGTGGGGAAGGTGCCTTAACCCAGAGGGGACAATGCTCTTTTGCTGTGACATCTGAATTTGCTTAATTTGACTGAATTTGCTTATTTTTGGGGCAGTGGATCCCCCAGCCAGGAGGGCTCTGGGCTTTTGCAAAGCGCATGGCACAGCTGGAGCAGGAGTGAAGGCTGGGGAATGACAGAAACAGCAAACCAGTGGTGTTTGCCATGGGAGGGAGGTTGTATCTTGTTTATTTGCTCTTTCTGATGTCTTTTGAAGCAGCCCTGAATGAGTGGCTGTCGCTGGTGTTGCTGGCACACAGGAAAAGCAGCTCTTGGGATATCTCCTCTTTCTTGGCTCTGCTCTCCAAAGCTGCCATGCAGGAGAGCAGGAGCAGAGGAACCACAGAGGTGTCCACAAGCTGCAGGTCCTGTGATGGGGAGGCTGGGTATTTATGGTGCATGTGGGTGACCCATTTTGGGGTTCTCTGAGCCACCATTGCCCATTTCCACCCCTGGTGGTGTCACTGCATTTGTGTTCTGGCTGGGAGCTCCTGCCCAGGGCTGGATTTCAAAGAAAGGGGCTATTCAGGTGCCAGCCAGGAGTTTCCATTCCAGCTTGGTTCCACTCACCATGTTGTCCCAAGGGAATGACAGATTTGGGATTTTCCTGGTTCCCTGCCTGTGGTGGGTTTCCCTGCAGGATGGGACATGGCAGCACTGCTGCTGACTCACACAGAACTTGGGGTCTGGGGAGTAGCAAACCCTCTTATTTCTAGTGAGGCTTTGGATGTGACAGGGAGAAGCTTCAGCCCCAAACTTTCCTGTTTTCCAGTGTGTTTTTATCAGTTCTCACCCAAAAATATGAGCTTATTGTGACTTTCAGCCCTTTTTCTCTGGGTGTTGGGTGCTGAGCTGCCCCTTGAAGAGTGGAGGAAGGAGTCACTGAGAGCAGGAGCTGCGTGTACTCAAACCTGGGGGTTTGGGAGGTGCCTGCAGCAGCATTGCTGCCTTTGAGGTTTGGTGACAGGAGGCAGTGTCACTGTGCAGGCTTTCAGCTGCCTGCCCTGTGCACGTTTCCTGAGTTCACACAAGCCCCTTTTGGTGAACTTTCACCAAGATCTCATGCAAAGCCCCAGCCCTGCGAAGGTGCTGCTGCCACTCTTGATGCAAACTCAGTGTGGGACAGCGCTGAGAGCCCTGGGCTGTTCCAGGTGGCTGCTCAGGGTGGAAACTCACCCCAGGCTGAGGCAGGAGCTGTGGGAGCCCCAGCTGCCTCCCCCAGGGCACCTGCCTGCCCCCAGCCCTCTTGCACCCCTAAAGTGCAGTCTGGATGGAAATAGCAGCAGCACATCTCTTCTGCTTTTAATTTTGGAGGCTCTCTGGGCTGGGGAGAGGAAGCTGGGGGTGGGGAGGAGTTGTGAGAGGGCAGGAGCCACTTTGCTCTGACTCTGTAGAGTGAGTTGAAACATTAAAGGTGCTCCAA